CATTTTTGTTCAAAGAAAAAATAAACTGATTTGGAAATAATTTTTTTTGCTCATTTTTTTATTATTTTATACGATAGTTTGTAATTTTTTTGGATAATTTATATCTTTAAAACAACTTTTTAAATATTTTTCAAAATTTTTCAAAAACAAATTTTTTAAAAATGTCATAAATTTATTTTTAGAATAATTAATTTGAAAAAAATGTTTCTTATCGTTATTATAATGGTGTTGATTTTGATTAATTCCTTTAATTATTTTGAGAAATTTTTACATTAAATTTATTGATATTAGGCTTTCGTAAAAAAGGTGATTAAATTTTTCAAAGTTACTTTTCTTTGGTATATTTTGATGACAAAATTTGAATACAACTAATTTTAAAAAAAATTTTAATAAATTATTTTTCATGAAAAATATTTGCTGTACTACAAAAATATTTTTTAAAATGTTTTTTTTTAATAATATTCCTTGAAAAGTATATTGAAAGATATCCCTTGAATAATTTTTAAACAAAAAAAATTTAATATAAATATATTTGAGGGAGTTTTATTTAAATATTTTTGAAAAAATCTTCTTCGAATTAAGAATCCAAATTAAATTTCTTTAAAAAAAAAGAAAAAATTAATCGTTATTTCTGAAAAAAATTATTTTCGAACATTTTTGGAGTAAGACTCTTTGAATTATTTTTCAAGAATATTATTATTTAAGTATAAATAAATATTAAAATTTTTTTTAGTAATTTTCAGACAGTTTTTCATTTACCTTTTTGACAGCAAACTTTTATAAAATATATTTAAAATTTTTTTCGTTAAAAATTTTTTTTAAACTCAAGTACTTTAAAACTCTTTTCGAATCTAAATAATCAGAAAAATAATTTTAAAACCCGTATATAATTAAAAAAGTTTTTTTTTTTAATATACATATATATTTAAAAAATATTTTTCAGATAAATAAGATTTGAAAAAAAATTATAATTATAAGATATATATATATATATATTTAATATTTCCTTAATAGTAAAAAAAGTTTAATCGATGGTTTTGTACAAAATTATTTTCGAACATTTTTTAAATAAAAGACTCTTATTTATAATATTAATACATATATATAATGTTTTATTAAAATATTAGAATTTTTAAACAAAAATATTTCTTTAAAAAAGTCTTTTACGGTAACTTGAAAAACCATTCAGAAAAAAACTTAAAAAGGCAGATGATTTTTTTTTTTTAATTTTTGGCTGAGAAAATCATTTTGGTGATCATAAAGTACAAACTTTTCTTTAATTTTATTATTTTTTATGTAAAATTTCAATAAACGCAAATATTATTAACATTTATTTCATCCTTAAAACATTTTTCTCTGCTGCTGCACATGCTCATAACTGGATTTCAATTAAAATTTAATTGCGCTGATATTTTTAATTACACATACACACACAAACGCTGAGGACGTCAGGCGACTGCCGCTATTCATTTTTATCCTCTCTTACCCACTACATATATTTCACACTCTCATTAAAGTTTCAATATAAATTTTTTTTTGTTGACAAACAAACACGACGACCTCGCCCTGCCACTGATTGTCATTTTATAATTATGAAAAATTTTCAAAGCGACAAAAACAGCGCAGTTTAATTATATTCACTTTATGCGAGTTATGATCCACTGCCTAGGGTTACCCATTTACTTTCAGCCAACATCATTTTCTCTTTCGCTCATTTTCCATTTACTTTCAAATAGCCTCATTATCAGGCACTTTTTTTTTTTTGCTCTCACTTAAGAAGCTTCTCGCCTGCTCAGCGCTTCCATTTCACTTAGTGTCTATAGTTCAATGGGAAATTTAACTTTATTTATTCGCATACTTATAAGCATTAACAGACATACACAGACTGACATACATGCATAGTTTTGCCCTTCCTTACATTTAACACATTCAAAGGCTCCTCCCACTGCACACTGCCTCACGCTTATACGCTTTTAATGAGAATATCCTCGTAAAAAAGTTATGAATTTCTGGCCACACTATTTTAACGAACTTTTATTTTTAATTTCCTCTCATTAATCCTCTTTCTGTCCGTTGCTTGCTTTCATCGCTCATCTTACTTTCCCCCATTGCAAACTACAATGTGTTTGTTGGCGGTGTAAAGAAAAAAAAACGTTAATCCTCGTTGAAGTCTTTTGCGCATAAAATACAATTTTTACAATCTCTCGTCGGGCGCATTAATGCCTTTCAGCTTCCACCTTCACATCCTTCTTGAACGCATTTTACTATGCAGTTTGTCATAAGTGTCTGTCCGCCGCCTGTTCCACTGTCGGTTAAATAGTTGGTTAGTTGCTTGGTTTGTTACCCAGCGAAGCTGATAATTGCCTTGGTTCACTATCGGTTGCATTTAGCACTATTTGCCGTAATTGTTGATGTTGTTGCTGTTGGCGCTGAGAAGAATTAATTCAATGGAAGATGAAGTTGATGGTTTTAACGCGTGAAATGATGAAAATGGACAGTGTAAATGAGATTTGAAAGTTTACAGCGGGCATACTAATCACAGAAATATACGCGCAGTACGAGGTGGAAATTTGCAGTTACATTTCTAAATTAATTTCAAATATTTCTATTTATTTTAATAAATTTATTTTATTTTTTAACTTTGAATTAATTATAAAATTTTAAATTTATTTCATCAAAACTTATGTTTTATTTATTTTATTTTAGTTTGGTTTATTTTAATTGAAATCATTAAATTAATTTAATTATATTAGCATATTTATCTCTATTTAATTAAATTTAATTAAGATATTCTATATTATTCAAGTTTTTTATTTAATTTAATTTTATTTTATTTATTTTAATTTTTTCTTCATTTTATTTTATTTTTTATATTTAGTTACGTTTATTTTATTTTATCTTTTTTTATTTTACTTTATTTTATTTTATTTTATTTTATTTTATTTTATTTTATTTTATTTTATTTTATTTTATTATTTTTTATTTTATTTTATTTTATTTTATTTTATGTTATTTTATTTTATTTTATTTTATTTTATTTATTTAATTTCTTTTCCTTAATTTAGTTAATTTCATTTAATTTTATTATTCTTGTTATTTTTAATGTTAATTATTAATTTTACTTAAATTTTATTAGTTTATATTATTTACTTTACTTTTTATTCATATTATTTTATTATTTTTGTTGTTTTTTATTTAGTATTGTTTTATTTTAATTTTTGTTTCCAATTAACATTGCTTGGAACCGTTTTTTCTTATTATATTTCAATTACTTTTTTTTCTTTTTATTTATTTAAGTTAATTTTATTATTTGTTTATATATCTCAAATAATTCTGTTTAATTCAATTTAATTTTTCTTTTAATATATAATTTTTCAAATTAAATTTAATTTGAATAGTTTAATTTAATTGAAATGGTTTTTATACTTATTAATAATTTGATTTGAATACTTTCTGCTTTTTATTATTTTATTTTGATTATATTTATTTTACTTAAATTTATTTTCTTTAATTTTTTGTTTATTTCTTTACTTATTTTTATTAAATAAATTTTGCGGCCGCGGTAACCGAGTGGTTAGGATAGCGTACAGCCATTGGGAATGCTCAGGTAGTCGTACTAACAGCCAAAAACTTTTAGAAAATTAATTTAAATAAAAAAATTTAGAAACTTTTCTGATAGCGGTCGGCTCTCGGCAGGCAAAGTCAGCACCTCCGAGTGTATTTCTGACATGAAAATCAAGGCTCTCATAAGAATACCATAAGCCGTTCGAAACCGGCTAAGTGCAAACTGTTGGTCATTTCGTTTGTTGAAAATCCATCAAGGCGTAAAACCACCAAATGGAGGAGGAGCTCGGCGGTAAATCGCTACAGCAATTACCAAGCGCTAATTATATAATTATATAATAATTTTTTATTTTTGTATTTAATATGGTTTTTTCTTTATTTCATTTTTTATTTAATTTTTTAATTAACAAATACTTTTATTTGAATTCTTTTAATTCCTTTAAAAATTTTGATTCTTAATTCAGCTATTTTTGATTTTATTTTATTATTCTTCTTTAATTTATTTTTATAAATTTTATTTTAGTTATTTTTTGTAATTTATATTATTTATATTCTCAATTTGTTTATTTAACCTAATTTTATTTGTATTTTATTTTATTCAGTTTTATTTCAATTTTTAATTCTAAAACATTTTTTTATTATTTGATTTCATTTATTTAACTTTTTTCCTTAATTTATTTTAATTTTTATTTTTTCTATTTTTTTATAATTTATTTTTGCTCAACTGAATTTTATTTTTGTTATTATATTTGATTTTTATAATTTAAATCAATTTTTTTTATTTCATTTTATTATATTTTATTTTTTATTTTTATTTTAATTTTATTTTGTTTTATTTGAAATAATTTAAATTTATATTAAATTGCTTGGTTTTTCTTTTAATTCTTATTAATTTGATTTGAATACTTTTGTTTTTTTATTTCATTTTTATTACTATTTGTTTTTAATTTATTTTTTTTTTAATTGTTATTATTTTATTTTAACAGAATTTAATTTATTTTAATTTATTTTCTCTTATTTTCAGATAATTTTTTTTTAATAATTTTTGTTAAATTTAATTAAATTAAATTTATTGAATTTAATCTAATTCTTTAAACTAATTTCATCTTTTTTTTTTTAAATAAATTTTATTTTATTTCCTTTCAAAATTTTTTAATTTTGGTGCAAAGCTTTTGATTTCATTTTTTTTTTTAATTTCATCACACCAACATCTGGTCCTGATGTTTCAATTAAAATGACTGCTCATATTCTTTGCATTGTTGTTATAGCCAAAACATTACCATTTTTAATTAAATAGTAGTTTCAGTGGCAAAAAGTACACAATTTTATTGTAAAAGTTTCGGAATCTCTCTCTCTCTATCTCTCTTACGCTCTTTATCTCTCTTTAGCAATAAATTCTTATAAATTTTAATTATTTCTATTTACTTTCTTTGCAGGCAGACTGAGGCAAGGAGTGAGTGACATGTAGGTATTGCTAGTGGGAAGGAATGTGAAAGGGAACAATTCACGGAAGCAAATGTGTAAATGGCAAAATGAGAAAACGAGAAAAGCAGTCCCCATCGCACAGCATTAAGCAATGAACAAGTAACGGAAGTGGCTGTGCCAGCGTGCAAGTGGAGCAAAAACTACACTGAAGGAAGAACAACGGAAAAAGTAGTGAGGAAGAGAAATGAAGGGTGGAGAATGCAGCGAGGAAGTGCAGCAGGAACGAAAGTCAGTCAGCGGCAAGAATAACAACAGATAGCGAGAGCGTGCCAAAGTAAGCCATAGCAACAACAGCAACAGTGGAATAATAACAACACTACCACTAAGCGTATATGCAACACAACAACAACAACAACACGTATGCCACAGACAGAATAACAAAAACAACAACAACAGCCCAGCAAGTGAGTCAACAACAGATTACGTGCTCTGTTGACAACAGGAAGCTCGACGTTGACAGACGTTGGTAGTGCGTCGACGACGACGGCCAACAACAATGACGCCGGTGCCAGCGATGACAGCTGGCGGCGGATGGACGAGCATTTGTGCGCGCATTAAAGTGTAATTAAACAAAAGTTGCTGATGCCGGTGGAAGAAAGATAAAAAAAAAAAACAAAAAGCAGTAGAAGTTATATAAAAGAAATAATGAGAGAAGAAAAAAGTAAAACAACAACAAATGCAACTTTGATTGCAAGATAAGATTACTGAGCGCGAGTGCTGAGGCAAAAGTCGACAGAAAGCCTGCAACTATTGCACGCAACAACAACAATTACAACTAAAACAACAACAACAACAAAAACAACAACAGCACACAACTAATAAAAACAACAAGAACAACTTAATTGTCACTACAAGACAATGCTGACACACATTAACCGCCTCCATCCGCACCACCTGCCGCCCGCACCGTCTGCCGTCGTCAGCAAAATGTCGAGGAAGTGTTTAAATTAGGGCGGGCTCATTCACTGTTGGCGCTTTGCCAACAACAATGTCAAGTTAATAGCAGCAGTAGCAGCAGCAGCAGTAGAAACTGAAACAATAAAACACAGTAGAAAAGGAAAACTAAAAAACAAAACTAAACAAAAAAATTAAAAAAGCTGTTAATAAACAATAACAAAAGCGTTTTAAGCGCCTGAGTGCACAATGCTATCGGTTGGTGCCCACGAGTGTCGGTTTATATTTACGAAGGTGTGTAGGTGTTGCGAAAATTAAGTGAAGTGTGGACGTAAACACTTCCGGGTGGCTAAAATGACATTAACATGTCGTAAGGACAGACAGTTACTACACTGAGCTCAAAACGCCGGCTGACTTGAGACGTAGTGTCGGTGTGCTTCTGGTGGCTATTGAGGGCCCAAGGATATGGATAGTGAAGCAAATAAAATAAGAAAATGTAGTAAAATAATTGAAAAAAGCAAGCAAGCAGTTATAATGCAATTTTCATACCCAAATGAGTCTACAATTAAATTAATATAATAATACCAATAAATAATTAAAAGTATTAATGATTATTTTTTTTGAGTAAATTAATATTTTGACACCTAACTTGTGATGGATTTTAAATTTATTATTTTTTACTAAATTTTGACTGAATTTTTGATACTAAATTTCCTTCAAGAAATCTTAAAAATATTTGTTTCTGAATTTTTTATAGAAAACCTGAGGAGTTATTCTTAAATTTTAACATTTTCCTCACCTATCCATATGTATTTCGAATTATTTAAGTAAAATAATGGAGGCTGAAGTAGGATATGTGTGGAAGTGGAAGAAAGTTTTTGACTGCCGCTCACCAGGTAGTGAATAGAAGAAATTCCTTTAAAAGTGGTTCTAGCAGCTTTTCGACTCTGCGTCTTAGACTTAATATACTCTATGTATAAGAACATACCTTTGAAGGAGGCTAGTTAAAACGAAAGATTGAGCACCAATTGGTTAAACGTAAAACTCAGTGTACAAAACTAAAAAAATCCGCCTCGACGCCTCGGAAGAGAGACGCTCAGCTCTGAACGCTTCAGTGGTGCTTATATCAATGAAGAAGAGGAAGAAGAAAATTATTGAAATATAAATAAGAATAAAAAGTATATTTATATTAAATAGTAATTTTCATGATTTTTTTTAAATTTATTTAATTGTATTTATTTGGTAATTTGGTAGGAATAAAGTTCGTTTAAGCTGCAGAAAAAATATTAAGGATACATTTTTTTTAATATGAATTAATATAATGTTTTTAATATTTATTTTATCCACCGACACCAGATTATCTGTGCAGCAGTTTCTAAGAAAAATATATAAAATTTTATTTAAAAATAATTTATAACGCCTAGAAAATAACAGAATTTTTGCTTAATCGAAGTTTATAAATCTGAAACGTATTTGTCAGGTCATAAAAAAGTCAGGCTCTATGGTCATTTTCCATGTAGAACTGTGTTTCATGCTTTAGTTACTCATTCTGGGGCATCACTTTTTGAAAATGATGGTAAGTTGGTTGGGTAGATATCCGAAAGATCAGGTTTTTCTCTTTTGCAGACTGGGTTAAATTCTTAGCAAATAACCAACATAACAAATTTTGAGCAGGCAAGCGGCTCTATGAATACCTTCAAACCATTTTAAGGTCCAGCGACCTTGTTGAGACGCTCGAAAGCTTGGACGTTCGCACGCTGAAATGCTCAACCAGCACCATTTCTTCATTTTACTCCGGTTGTCTTATATGTTCTCTTTTATTTACGCTTTGTAATCGCTTAAGAGTTTTTCGGCACGCTTATTGATATTTATACAACATGGGATGGGAATAACAAGATATTCTACGCGGTCTGCCGCTGGAGTTTTAAGAGGAGCCATATTTCATGTCACGAATACACACTTGTGCGATATTCTCCACTATTGTCTTACTTAATCTGAATTTTCAAATATTTTATTTTCTTTTCTTTTATTTTGATTTCTAGTTATTTTTCTTTTAATTCTTTCTCTTATATTTTTATTTATTTTCTTTAAATATTTTGGTTCTATCCATTTTTTATTTTTGAATTTATTTTTACTTTCTCTGTTTTTTTTTTAATTTTTGTCTTTCTTCTCCATTTAATTTATCAACTTTTTTTTTAGTTTCCTTTCCATATTTAAAAAAAAAAGACTATTTTATTCTTCATGTCTTTATATTTTGCTTTTCGTTTTTCATTTCCATTTTTTTTTCCTCTATTTTGTTATTGTCTCTTAATGTTTTCTTCCTCCTTCCTTTTTATTTCAGTTCGAATTTTCTAAATTTCTTCCTAGTTTTCTTTTATTTTTCCAGTTCTCCTAATTTTATTTCCTTATATTTATCGCTTTCCTTTCATTTTGAATTTGGTTTATCTATTCCATTAATTAATTAATTTTAATTTTCTCTTTTTTCTTCTTACTGTAGTTTCAAGCTTTCCTTCCTGTCCTATCTTTTATGGTTTATTTTGTATTTTCCTTTATATTTGTTTTTTTTCCTTTCATTTTTTCCTTTTTAATTTTTTCTTTTTATTTTTTCCTTTTTATTTTTTTCCTTTCATTTCTTTCTATTTAATTTTTCGTTTTTATTTTTCCTTTTTTTTCCTTTTTATTTTTTTTCTTTTTATTTTTTCCTTTCTGTTTTAATTTTTTAATTTTCTTCTATTCTATTTTTAACCCTTTTTTCCTTTCTTATTCTGATATTATCCTTTCTTAACCTTTGATTTTTTATTAAATTTAATTTTTTAATTCCTTTATGTTCATATTCTTGTTGTAGTAATTTTTTACGTCCTCCATATTATGCTGGTCTTCGCAGTTCCCATCATTGGAGGCCAAGCGCTGACCGAATGACCAATTCGGATCAAAATTCGATTAAAATAACGACATCCTTGCTCGTGAATACGCCTTTAAATAGGCTATGCGTCTGTAATAATTGCAAAAAATATATTTTAAATTTTAATAATTTTCTTAGTTTATTTGTTTTTTATTTCAACTTTTCTAACCTAAAAATATCTACCATATTCATCAGCTTTCATCCAAGGACAGTTTATAAGAAAGAAAAAAATTACAACAAAAATTAAGGGAAAATGTATGTGAAGAAAGTCTCAAGTGAACAATAAAGCAAAACTTAACCCAAAGCCCCAACGCCCGCCCGACCACCACCGTCCATTCGGTCTAAATGTTCCCGTGGCGGCAAGGACGGCGGTGCGTAAAACAAATGCAACAAACAAAACGGTTATTGCAATTAAAATGTCGTCGGACGTTGAAAGAGCACGAAATGCCACAAAAACAACAACAGCAGCAACAACAACAACATCAACAACAACAACAAAAACAGAAGCGACAGCAACGTATAGAAAGCAAACACCCGGCGTAGCAACAGCGGCAGCATTGAAATTACAACACCAACAAATCTATCATAATCAACTTTATCACCAACAACAGCAGCAACAGTTAAAGCAACAAGAAAAATACAGCAAGCCCGCAACAACAGCAACAGCTGTCCAATACAATTGCAAAAATAACATATCGTTAGCGCAACAACAACAACAACAACAGCAATCACAACAACAACCGCAATATCAATTAATTGCCACTGCGGACGGTGATTTCGTCGCTGGTGCCGACGACACATCTCTCCTTGGCAGCTGTTTTGGTCTGCTACTGAAAGTGCTCTTCTCACCACCCGGTCTGGTCGCACTCGTTGTTGGCTACTCCATGCTTGGCGCTGTCATCTTCCCACTGCTCGAAGCGCCACAGGACATTAATACGTCGGCGGCGATAGCGAAGAGTCGCGAGGAGTGTTTGCGTGAACTGTGGATCATAACGGGTAAGTGTTTGTGGTCTTAAAGTTTTTATTAGAGGATTCAACTAAACGTTTATTGATTTCATAAGGCAGTGAAATGAGCAAAACAGTGAGATGAGCAAAAATTCGCAGAGCCAGCCAATGGTTCGTTTTGCCTAAGAGACCTCGGTTGAACTTAAACATACCTTTAAGTTTTCTTGCCGCTCGCGGCATCAACTTATCCTTATGCCTTTCGATAGATTTAACTCAGTTTTCTTGCTTTCAATTCTACTCTACTCTTTCAAGGAAAGATTTCTTGGTTTCAAAATGCTACTTTAAAATAGAGGAGATTTTTCATGAGACGCATTTTAGGGTTGCAGGTAGGCGGATTAAATGCAATCTCTTAGCATTCCTGCTAACTCGCTTGCAATAAGCTCCCCTTGAAATCTGCTCCTAATGCCAATTTCGACCACATGATTTGGGTTTCGTTACAAAAAATTCGTTTTTCAACGTATTGCTATGGTCAACCTCTTCTATGAAAGCGAAAAAGCTTATCTTTGGAATCTTTTCTTCGATCTTGATCTTGATCGCTCGGCCTCATATGAGATATATAATTGGCGCTTTGTAACCGCTGAAGCGATTTTCGGCCAAGCTCCTCCTCCAATTTTTTTTATTGCGTCTTAATATTTTTCCAATAAATGTAGACTACTCACAGAGATTGAAAACGCTTCAACGTCTGCAACGGTGTACTGGGGAATACTACAAATTCTTGGTTAACATAAATTTTTTTTTTAATTTATATAAATTATTTTAATACCCTAATGAGTGGCAACTCTTATGGAAAAATTTTAAAAAAATTAAATATTAATAGAAGTTTGTGTTTTTTACAGCTGTTGATATTACTATACTTTGCAAAAAAAATTAAAAGTTTTATTTAAAAAAAAGGTGGCAACGCCAAAACTAAATTGAGTCACATATATTTGATTAACCTCAAGTTTTCATTCCATTCATCACAGTTATAAATGTTGCGGCTTGTATAATTTAATTTTTCATAGTTTCTATTTTTTTAATGGCAACTCTATCATTTTAATATTGTCTGGCCAAACGTTTTCCAAAGGTATTTTGAGGTATGTAATTTGTTATATAGCGATGAAAATTTTTCCACCAAATCGTTCGATTTAACACCGTCGGGTTTTCCTTTGACTCTTGAGCACTTGCGAACCGACCACTTTAGCTGCAATCGGAGTCGTATGACAGTAATAGCGCGCCGAGCATTCTTTTTGAAGATGTCCATCGTGTCGGACTTATCTGTTTAGATAAGAGTCTTCACATAAGGTCCTTTGGCGTTAAATCCCACTATCTGGGCGGCCACTTTACAGGCCCAAAATGGGATAACCAAATGTGCTCACCAAAAATTTCCTTCAATTATTTGGTTGTTACGTTGGCTGTATGGCTGCCTCTCTAGGGTTTCCCACGGACAGTAACTGTTTGGGTCGGCTCTGTTCTATGAGATATATAAGCCAATTATTCCTTCTGCGGGTAGAGCACACCAAACGCTGTTTTTTTTTTGGTGGATAGACTGATTAAAAGTTAGCTTCATCGCTGTGAAAATGGAGATAGGTGGCAATCTTGTTTTGGGTTCATTCACCGAACATGTGATGCGCTTGAGTTTGTTTTCAATTTTCGTGCGGTTTCAATTCTACCACGAGTTGGATTGTGCAAGCAGCCCGTAAACCAAGATTCTTCGGCAAAATCTTCCGTAAAGTGGACAGCCACAGTTCCAATTGTTGCCCGTTGGCGGATGAACTCATTCGGATCTCCTTCGATACAGCAGCAATGGCGTCTTCAGTGTGCACTGTATGACGTCTGTGTGGATGCGCATTATGCCCGGTTACGTGTTGTAAAACCGATCCATAGTTAATCGTATTATTGATTCTACTGGGCGTGGGGCGAACCGAAAAAGGACTTATGTCGGAAATTCTCTAGAACAAATTTTTGGCTTGAATTTTGAAATTTCGTTATAAAAAACTGAATTCCGTAGCCCAGAAGCAATCCGAGAATTGACTTAATTTAGACTAGAAGTATAATTAATAATTAATAACAATAATAATAACGGAATATTAATGAAATCATGACCTAGTAAATAGCAGACACTGCCACATATATTTATCTCATATCAGAATAGCAGTAATATGATTGCCACGCAACTAATAAATAAATTGAAATTAAATTATGTAAATTGCATTCGGTGAAATAAATGCGATTATGGTTTGTAAAGCATGCATTAGTATGACCATTTTTAATATATATTTACATTACACAAGAACTTGACCTTTATTTAAAATAAATATCAAATTTTCTATATGAAAATAATTGGAATTTATTTCGAAGCTTCCAATTGTGGTCTCATTGAATAATTATTGAAATGAAAACTGCAAATTTGAATGCGTAATTTATTGCGCAATTTATTGGCCAAACTACTATAGCTAAAATGTGGTCTAAAAGTGTAGTATTTATAGAAAATTAAATAAAATTTATATATAATATATTTTGCTAAACGCAAATATATATATATATGTATTTAAATATGTGTTAATGCTATGAAGTGAAATGTTCGCCCATTAACTGATTGGCAGAATTATAAAGTAGTCATAACAATGGGTAGAGTTCCCAAGTAGCGATTTAATTTTCTATTTATTCTTCTAAAATTTAATGTGAGCAATAAGATCCTAAATAGTATTTTTTTAATTTAAAATTTTTTTCGTATTTTTTACCATAAAGTTATATTTCTATATAATTTTGCCAGCTGCAAATAATAAAATTTTAATTAATTTATTCACACATACATATTTCAAATTAAATTTTGTAATTTAGTAAAATCGATTCAACGAAAGGCACAATTTACGCTCACATCACCTCATTCAAAACAACTTAGTTATTATATAAAAGCCTCTTATGGCTTTCAAAGACCCACTAGCTTGCCTTAGAAATATTACAAATACTTGAAGAGCTTATAAATATATGCACATAATTATGTATATTAATAACTGACCATAAGCATATTACAAGACATTGTTGCCATATGTAAATGAAGATGCCATCAACTGTTTGAGAGTGCCGAGTATGCAAGTGGATATGTCGAAGGACATGTGAATGCCACTGTTAGACAAGCAAAAAGCACATGCATTGCATATTTCAGTTCAAACGCACACATACATACATATGTGTGTAGACATATGTAAACCTGCATCTGCATATACCATTAATGCATAACTAAATATGCATGTTGGCATGCTCACTACATAACAACGCTACTAAGGAATTCCATAGTGACCTCCAAATTGCACTTGAGTCGGTCGCGTCCATTAAGAATTGTTGTTGCATGTGCAAGGGACTCCACTCGGTGCGCTGATGCTTAAACGCTTGAGTAATTATGTAATTTGTGTTAAGCATATAAGCATTCTAACACTCAGCATATAAGAGGTAATAATACAGTGGTGCCTGAAACCATATAAGATAATTAGGCAAATAAAAAAATTAAAAAAAAAATTAATAATGAAACTTAATTAAACTAGATAAAAAAAATGAAATAAAATAAAATAACGTAACATAAAATAAAACAAACAAAAATAAAATAATTAAAATATAATAAAATAAAATAAAATAAAATAAAAAAAAATTAAATAAAATAAAATAAAATAAAATAAAATAAAATAAAATAAAATAAAATAAAATAAAATAAAATAAAATAAAATAAAATAAAATAAAATAAAATAAAATAAAATAAAATAAAATAAAATAAAATAAAATAAAATCAAATCAAATAAAATCAAATAAAATAAAATTAAATAAAATAAAATAAAATAAACCATTTTTCTTTGTTGTATAACAAAAATATTTAATTTATACAAACAACGAGGCCTTTAGTTTAAGATAAGAAATCACTTTGTCTGAACCCACGTTTGGTGTCAAACGACTCGGCGGGGCCTTTACTGATCCTGAATTAGCTTTTTGTGTTGCGCAACGTCAGGTCACATAGCCGTATAAGTTTTATGGGAATACCAAAATCAGATAAAGCGGCTTTGTTTGGGATTTTCATTGGAGTCAAATTTTTTATATGGTAGGTCCTTAACCCTACACAAAACCGAAAATGATAGAGGACACTTGGTATATGACCGGAAGTTGTGAGCTGTTTGAGCCATTCTCACTCACTTTTCTCATCACACATAGAAAAATCATTAGAAAATTTAAATTAAATTAAAAAAATAAATACAAAAAAATATTTTTTTTCTTATTTCCAGAAAAACTCAACGTCCTCTACGAGCGCAACTGGTCCACACTGGTACACGAGCAGCTACGTCGCTTCGAAGATTCCATTGTGGCGGCAACACGCCATACGAACAGCACCAGCGTCGGCATGTTTGGTGGCAGTTCAACGGCGCTGCGACGCTATGGCAACACCTTTGATGCAACAACCGATGCGATGGGCACGCCAACGCATTGGACCTTCGGCGAGGCGTTGCTCTACTCAGTGACTGTGATAACGACAATAGGTGAGTGCTTAAGTGTGTTAAAATTGGGTTGTGGGGGGAATTTCGGTATAAAAAAAAAATAAATTACAAAATAAAAATCTAGAAATGATACAAACTCAATTTAATTGTAAGCTTTTTAGCAATTTTTACAACTTTTCGATTACCCTAAGCTACACTTATAAGTATGTATGTAGAACACCAGAATCTCTTACAAGTGCACACAGGCATAACGAATAAATAAATAATCGAATGAATAATGCATAATTTACATGCGTTGGTCATTTGCCGAGATCATTTACCAATTTATTGACCCGTTTACAAATTACGGAGTAAAGATTAAATTACACTGCGTATCACAATAACAAACAACAACAACAACAACGACTACCTCCACGTCGCGAAATAGACCTTCGCGACGTAACAACAACAACAAATGTAGAGAAGAAGTGAAAAATGCAGTCACCTCAAGTACGAGCGCAGCTGCAATACTGCAATGGGGAGCCAGCAGCAAATATACACACATACATACAGATGCAAATATGGCTAAAGATATACATATAGTATGTATATATATATGACCATATATTACATTCAGGACATGCATTTCAGTGGTCTCTCTATGCATTTAGCTCTTGGGGATATTTTTCAAATGAATATCATAGGGAAAAAATCTCAGTTTCTTATGCTTAAATGCAGCTTTGCCAAGGCAGGTATTTATCATATGTATGTTGGTAACTGTAAACATATATATATATATATATATTTGTTATCCCTGTTGCTGTATTTGATGCGTAGTGAATAGTGAGCCAAGGTTATGATGCAATGAATGACTGAAGGAATGCTAAGCCCACACACACACTTACACACATATATATCATACATACAAACTAGCAAGTGAACAGCACACATATGCACTACAAGTAACAAAACCAGCAACAACAACCAGCGTACCACCACGTAACAGAGAGGTTACACGTGCCACAACCCAGAATGGCCTCGAAACATTTTGAATTGTGGCAATACAGCAGCTAAAGCTTTGCATTGATGAACCTTTTACTCTCTCTCTCTTTCTCTTGCTGTTCTCTACCTCTCCGTTCGTTTCACTCGTACTCTCGTACTACCTTATGCCAGCTGATCTACTGCACCGTTGGTTCACAACTGTGGTGCCTGCAGTAAAATTGAAGATAAACATTTGCCTTGTGTGGCTGTTGTTGTTGCTGTGGTGTTTGCCGACACAAACGCACTCACGCATATACAAGTGTAGGTGTATGTATGTGTATCGTATGTAAATTTACTATTATATGGGCAGCTATATTCATTGGCGCTACAATGGCTATATATGTGTATGTATGTATGTCCACAAATATGTGAGATTACATATGGAAACGTACATACGTGTACATATATTTACTTGTATTTACATTCATGTGTTTTTGACCGCAGTCAGCAAAGAGGAATCATTCATATGGTTGTACGTATATATGTATGTATCCATGTATGTATGTATGTATATAATGTATTTGCGCACAGTCATCAAAACAACCTTCAACGAATTCACGCAAATTCATTTTTCCATTCGCTTACAAATATTAGCTCACATATACATATATATACTCGTATGTATGTATGTATAAAGTTGTATGTGTCAGTTTATGAAGTTGAGTGTTGACACATACATATATATTGTACGTATGTTTGATCGAGCATCTACGATAGCTCTAATAGTCTATGAGGTCGTGATCAAAATTTCAAGATTTACAACTTTTTTGATTTTTTTTTTACACATCAAAGAGATTTATTTATTGAATCTGCATAATTTAAGCCTAACAATAAGTTTTACAATCTTAATAAAATAACTAATAAACCACTACTTTACTCCATTAATAGTAGCGAATGTCAGGTAAAACGTTGCTCTTCAAAATACTGGCAGATCCTTGATCCTTTGGCGAGTTCGATTTGCTGGGCAGTACAAGATTTCGAACTTCAAGCGATAGCCGGAAGGCTGTAAAAAAATTGGATTTTCGATCTTCTGCCTACATCTAAATAATATTATCATTCACTAGCGCCATCTAGCGGTGAGAAATTGATCAAACCAACACAGTTCTCTAATGTTGTCAAAACACATTTCGATTTACGATTTTTTAAAAACTTTTTTACTCTATAATATATATATATATATATATATATACTGAATGTATAGTTTGAGGCAAATCGGACTTTTTTTTGTGATTATAATGCGATTTTAACGCCATCTGGCGACCATGTGAGATTTGAATTTATCAAATCAAGTAGCCATCTAGCGGGAATTTTTTCATAAAATAAATAAACTAGTATTGAGTTTGCGCGATCACTGAACCCTTAGGCCTGCTGGGTGGTTGTGATGATACTGGACTAGTACACAGTGTGTATTAGACTTATTAAGCTATTAGTTGCATAAAACGGCATAAGGTAGTCGAGGCAGATATACATATATGTATATAAAGTGTGATTTTTAAGAGCTATAGGAAAGTTTCTCAAAAAAAAAAAAACATAATATGCATGAAATCTTTATTTGAATCGATAGTACGGTGCATATAATTTAATGTTTGAGCTTGTTTCATGCAAATGCCTCAAATGGTACATTCGCTTAGTCCAATTTTTGGCATACTCTTTCCAACATTGCGGTCGGTATCTCACGAATAAATGCTTTAATGTTGTCCTCCAAGGCGTCAACTGAAGCGAGCTTGTCTGTATAGATATTAAATTTGACACAAGCCCCACAAAAAATATTCTAAAGGCAGTAAATCTCACGATCTAGGTGGCCAATAAAACGGTCCCGAACGTGAAATAAAATGCTCACCGAGCTCACCTCTCAATAAGTCCATGTTTACGCGTGCTGTGTGGCATGTGGCACCGTCTTGTTGAAACCACACGTCATGCAGGTCAAGCTCTTGCATTTTGGGCAAAAAAAAAAAAAGTTCGATATCATCTTACGGTAGCGCTCACCATGCACAGTTACGTTACGATTCGCATCTTCTTTGAAAAGGTATGAGGTAATGATGCCACCAGCCTATAAACCGCAAAAAACTATGACTTTTTCTGGATGCATTGGTAGCTCTTGCAATGCGTCTGGCTAATCTTCATGCCAAATTCTGCTTATTTAGGCACCCATTAAGCCAAAAATGAGCTTCGAAGCGCGTGCGGATGAAACGCGCGATAAACTTTCTTAGCAGACCACGCATTTTGACAATAAAAATCAATAACTTGCAGGCGCTGCTCGTTTATAAGACGATTCATGGTTAAATTATAGACCAAACTGACGATGTTTGACAGTGATACAAAACACAGGAAGTCCCAACAGCGCATAGCTGGGTCTGCTAGTATACGAGGTGTGACAGTTAAGTAATGAGACTGATTCGATAAAAACCGTAAATTTCACAATTTTTCTACAATTCTGCCATCCCCTTCAAATTAGTCCCCTTGGGCAGCTATACAATTGTTCCACTGCATTTTCCATGCCTCATAACATTACTGGAACACTTCGACTGCGATGTGCGCGAGTACGCTCGACACGGCCGCCTGGGTGTCCTCAATCTACTCAAAATGGGTTCCTTTGACCAGCGATTTTGTTCTAGGAAACAGAAAAAGTCGCAGGGTGACATATCGGGCGAATAAGACGGGTTGTTGCAACACGGCGATCTCTTTAGAGGCCAAATACTGGGACACGCTTACGTCATTGGAGAGGAGGAGGATGACGAGAGAAGGGAAAGAGAATTGCAATGTCGCCGGTTCACCACAGTCGCGGCAATATAATCAGTCTCATTACTTAATTGTCACACCTTGTATATTTTACATATAAAATTTCATGGATTTTGTTGAAATTCGGTTCCATTATTTATTAAGTTGCAACGAACAAAAATGAATCTTTCGTGTAATCATGTGATTTTGAAAAATACAAAAATCGGAGTAATTTCGTAATAAAGATGCAAATGAAGTCATGTATGTTAAAAGCTATGCACTAAATGGAAAAATATGTAGAGAGGAGCAGAAGTTCGGGTGGATGTGACACCAGCCACTGTCGCCAAATTGAAAATGAGCGCAATCGGACAACAACTATGTGTTTGTCCTATATAAAGGACTATTTTTTTCCACCTTAATTTTTACTGAGGATCGAATACCTCAGGCATAAGTAAAGCTCTACAAGCTCTTCATTAAACGAAATCACAATTACAGTAAGTAGCAAAAAATTACAGTTCCACCCAAAATTAGAGTTTCTCGCTCTCACTCTTCATTATTGGCGCAGACTCCACTTACGCGTTTATAGCCGAGTGAGTAACAGCGCGCCACTTACTCCTTCTCTGCGCTATTTGGCCTTCAATTGCATAAACCAAGAACTGCCAGGTCGCTGATTCGTTGCACTATGCCAATATAGCTCGTACAGCTGCTCGCTCTATCAGCTGCTCCTATCGTCGACTCATCAAAGTTTGCCACAAGCCATGCCTCTGTGCAATATAGCATTACGGGACTGATGTGCGACTTGAAGAGTTTGGTCTTTGTTGATCGTGAGGGTGTAGAAATTTTCAATTGCGTGCTCAGTCTAGAGTCAAGGCAAGCATTGTAGTTGGTATTATTATTGATCCGAAGGGAGGCGAAGGTATCTATGAATTTATTGCTAGAAATATATGATTTCTTGGTCCTCATAGTATATAATATCTTTCCATTCCTGCCATTCGGAAGGATCGAGTTCTAATCTTGGTGTAATTGCGGTGGCCCCTCGGCAGAGAATATCAACCCCTCCGAATGTATTTCTGGCGTGAAAAATAAAGCTCCTCATAAAAACCCATCTGCTGTTCGGAGGCGGCTTAGTATAAACCGTAGGTCCTTCCATTTGTTGGAAAAAATATCAAGACGCAAAACCACTAATTGGAGTTTTGGGTTGACTTGTTGCTTACCGTCTCTTGAGCATCAATCGTTTACTCATCATAAGGACACATTAAGAAGAAAGGGCATCAGATATAGGCAATATATATATATATATGAATAAGATTTCCCTTGCAAGGGCATATATTTTATTTCCTCTACTACACTTTATAGCCGGCCGTACCTTGAGGCACGCCACCAGAATACTAAGCAAGACCGCATCGACTAACCAACGGTAGGCAAACAAAGTAAATGTTGCAACATAAGCATTTTAATCATAGGAGCCACATCATCTTCAACCAAACGGTCAGTTCGCTCTACATAAAACCTACGCAAATTAATGCTGTTGGTTGTTTCGAGTTACTAAGCTTCTGGGCGGTGAATACTCGCACATCCCGTTTGAGGTTGAACTCTTCTTTCTTTGCTATTGTTCTGTGGTTTTGTGTTTATGCCACAAACGAATATGGTGTTTGTTGTTACAAGCAAAGAGATGTGTAATGTGGCTGACCACAACTGCCAATACTCACTGACTTCTGTTACTTACTTCCTTCCGTCCTTGCGAACGACACACTTTCATATATTTTCCTTCTGCCTTTATTATTGTCGTTACTCTGCTGCTGTTGCGCCTGTAGCTGCTCAATATATATGTATGTTATGTCATGCCATGTACTCGTGCCACTGATTTGCTTTGCTTCTTTTCTTGGCCTTAGTGAGCCGGCATGTCCTTCCGCCTACTGCATCGCCTTCGTCCTCCTCTTCTTGGCTACTTATTGCTACTTGATAGTCCAAATATGATTCGTGTTACAAGAATGTAATTGTTTACTCTTTATTGTTGGTATTATTATTATTGTTGTTGTTGTTAAGTGAAAGGAAGCGTTTAATTTCATTGTTTGCTTGAGTTGTATGCGGTGCCGGAGGCTAAAGGGTGGCGGGAGAGAAGAGTTGTGAAAAAGACGTTGGAGAAAATTTGACAAGAATAAGAAAAATTTTTGAAATTTTATTGAATTTAAGTGAAAAAATTGTTAGCGAACCTTTCAAGAACGGCTAAACGGCTTAACGGTCCAAAGTACCTCCTCAATGCCAATAAGGAGATCGGAGTATAGAACAAATCCTTTTTTTTTTGATTGGCTAAAGCGAAAGGTTAAGAAGAAGATCTCTGAATTAACCGTGGGTTCAATGAATGGCTCAAGGCTTAAAAATATGAAGAATCTTTCAGCAAAATTAATTTTCCTTTTTGCAAATTTAAGAAAAACTCTTGAGACTTAAAGCACTCCGATATATCCGACTAAAGCGCTCTCTAAAGTCTTATTACGGCGTCTCTTCACCAGAGAATCGTGGTACAAATGTGCGCCAAAGGGTGCCTCCTTGAAAAGTGAGGCTGAGTCTGGTAGTCACCAGTTAGGAACCAACTGCATTAAAAAACCTGGAAGGAGAGGTGAATTGTGGAAATTCACGCAAGTGAGGAAAGTTTTTGACTGCCCTTCCTTTACCTGGAAGTGACCAAACGATTCTTTTACATAAGGCTTGAGAAGCTCATGACTTCTGGTCTTAGACACAGTGCCTTTTAAGTAGCCATCAAACAGCCATATGGAGTCGAGTTAAAATAAGAAGGCGCATCATGACGTGACTAAGCGTAAACTTACAACAAACCTTGATCCAGAGATCCCATTTCTGTTAGCAAACATAGCAAACTTTTTAAGGGTCATGATTTGAGAGCTCACAGCTGAATTGCCCCGCTCTTTAATGGGTAAGGTGCCCCTGCCGAGACTATAGACATTTTCATAAGACTAAGGACTGCCATCACAGCCTTTCCAGAATAGTTGGAACAAGAACGCAAAAGGTGGGTGCTTGCTAAATATGCTACGACGGCCATGTAAAGGAGCAAATTTGGTGTTGGGCAAAGTTACCTGGAGCATGCTTATCAGAGCTGTGGTTCTCTCCGCATAGAAGGAATCATGACCAAATCGACATTTTAAACATGGACGAACGGAAGACCAGTCTCTGGTGTTTTAAATGTATGTACTCTTCGCGACCCAAATATCGATTCGGAACAATATCGTATTGCATCTCAGATGTACATGCACCTTCACGCAGCCAAAAGCGTCACTCGACAAACATAAAGACAGGGAAGATTAGACTTCTGGCAGCTGCCAACATAATGGACGCGTTAAGATTTGTCTGCTAGATTTAAAATGTAGCTCTCTGAGAGCGCTTGTCAGTAACTCTCAACGTTGCAAGGGGTGACAACGCGTACCTTGTGGGAGAGGTACTGATACCCGAAAAACTGTAGTATGAAGAACTGGAGAACCTGACTGACAGAGGTAAAGTTCAAAACTCTTACTAGAAGATGCCGCCATATACAGAATGTACTGAGACTGAAACGTACTCATGCATGAACCACAGAGGCACTACTTTTGCTGATTTGGCATCCGAAGTTCAGAGCAACAAAACCGTCGCTCTCTCTAGATTTCACATGTTAATTTATAGAAAAATTACCCAAAAGTAAAAATATTTGATTTGTTAAATAATAACTCTTTCCCCTCTCCCATTCCAGGCCACGGTAGCTTAACCCCACGCACCGCTGCCGGTAAAATCGCCACCATTTTGTATGCCCTAATCGGTGTGCCGCTCATGTTGATGTGCCTCTCCAGTCTGGGTGCGCTGCTGGCGGAGGCGTTACAATGTACCTACGCACGCATTTGCTGCCGGCTGACACGTCATCATCATCACCCACATCATCACTCACATCACCAACACCAACACCATCACCATCATCAGCAACCATTAAGTAAACATGAGAAGGGTCACGGCGTTAAGCAAAAGAAGCAACTGCCGCCGGAGCATGAGCTCTATCAACAACAAACACATCACCTACAAGTGACGGGTGAAAAGAGCGGACATTTGCTTGAGGGATCGGCGAGTTTGATGGGCGTGCAGCCTGAAAACTGCGGCGGCGGTGGCGGCGGTGTTAGTAAATATACGAGGCGTTGCAGTGTCGACAGTTTGGATAATGATGCGCTGTTGAAGCGTGGGCTGGGCGGTTGTCAGCAGGAGAAGGGGCATAAGGTGAGTGATGGAGGAAAACAAATTATTAAAAAAAATTACATCTGGGAATCTAACGGTATTGATGAAAAAAAACTTTCGCAGTTGCAAATATTTTTGGACCAGAGTTGCCATACTACTGATTTTTCTTTTTTTTTTAATTTTTTTAGCTTTAAACTGCAATTTTGCGGATAGTAAACAAAATATGAATAAAAGGGTTTGCATACAAATTTATTTTCGAACAGGGCTGCCACCTTATTAAAAGTGGTTATAAAATGTTTATTTTGGTTTTAAATATAAATAATTGTTATTACTACTTTGGTAGGATGATGTAATAAGATAAGCTTAGGAATGCATATTCTTTTCAGAGTTGCCAGCTGTCTGAAATTTTGAAACTTAAAAAAAAAGAATCACCAATTAAAAATTGTTAAAATCTGTAATCAAAGATGCCAATTTATTATTCATATTAGTAATTTTATGGATTAAAATTTTTTTCTAGAGTTGCCACCGTTTTTAACATTTTAACAAATAGAATTTTATAAATATAACAGTATAATTAATGTAAGAAAGGAAGAAAAGGTTTGAAAATACTTACATATATACTAAAGTGTGTTGTTAGGGTTGCCATATGTTTGAAAATATCAATATAAATGACTGTAGAAATGAATTATCGCTGCATAGATTTCAAATCAAAATCCGTGAGCATCGAAAAAGGTATAGAGAAGATTACGATTGCTACATGTGCAACTTTTGCCTCCATCTCAGAGCAAAGAAGCTGGTTTGCCTTCAGTGCTCTTTGAAAACTGTGCTAAATAATTTAATTTTTTTTCAGAAATAGTCGCAAACAAATAAATAAAAAATATTCCACCTGCTATTTTTTTAAGTATTTTGCAAAGTTGTATGATGGGGGTTGCCATTTGCAAAAAAGAATTTTTTTATTTTAAAAAAATTTTATTCAAAAAAAAAGAGTCTCAAACAAATAAAAGTGGAGTTAAAGTTAATTCACAATGAATTTCCGTACATAAATTTTTTTTTTTTTAAATTTTTGTGCTCACATATATGTTAATTTTTGCTTATTGAAATTTCCAATCTCTTTTCCACTTATTTTCACAATACACATAGGTATGTATATGTACGTATGTCATTAAAACATTTCCTTCCGCGTCCTTTTCGGAATTTTATTAGTGCTGCTTGAAAGTTGCTCCCTCCCACCACCTTTCATTCTCTCTACCCTAAGCGCTTCAATATAAAAATTAATAAACTGACTCATTAACAAAAAAAAAAAAAAAACAAAAAAAAAAAACGGCAAACGGCTGACTTTTTTGCTCTATATGTATCAATGCAGTTATATACTCTATACTCTATACATATTCATATTAATTTCTTCTACACCGTTGTTTTCATACAAAAAATTAAGTAATTTTCTTCATCATGTTTTTATTATCTCCCTCATTTCCGTTATTTAGTTATTTATTTTTTTTTTTTTGCTAATTTTTCGCAAACCATCTGTGGCTCCTACTACGCCATAAATCCCCTCATTTCCTCCAATATACCATTCAGCTTCATTTATGGCGATTTAACGATTATTTGATACACATTTTTTTCGCACGCATGCTATATATATATAGCTCCCTCTCTCTCTCTCTCTCTCTCTCTCTCTCTCTCTCTCTCTATCTCTCTCTCTATCTCTCTCGAAACTCAATCACTCCAATCACTTAACAACTCACACCAATATTTTTGTTTTCCTTTTCTTACATTTTTCCCATATTATTTTTTCTTATAACTTTTTGCATGTTTGTTTTTGTTTTTTCTTTCTTTCGTTGTAATTTGTGTTTTTCTTTTTTGTTTGTTGTAATTTGTTTTTATTTTTTTTTTTGTTTATACACTTGTCTTCTAATTTACACATTTCATTAATACGCCAATATCGCTCGTAGGCTCGAACCAATATTTGTTCTCATCCTCTCTGTCGCTCTCCCTGTCTGCGTAATTTTGTTGTTTATAAGTTAATGATTTTTCCGTTATTCTCTTTTTTTTCTTCCACAACGCACCATTATTTATTCATTATCTCCCTCCATTTTCGTTTGCTTATTTGTGTATTTTATTAATTTTTTGCTTATTGATTTGGCGTTGGGTTGGTGAGTGCCTCAACAGACATACATACATATGCGTAGATATGTCATGACATGCTCGTACTCTTCCTCTTGCTCCAGGCCATCAGCAGAAAAATTAATTTTCTTATGTTGGCAAATTTTATGTGTGTTTGGAGTTCGCGTCTATGTGTGCATATTTATTAGCTTCTAGTTAATAATTTAGGAGTTTTTCAATATTATTTTGCCTACAGCAGGGAGAAAGAGAGGAGTTTATTGATTTTACATGGAAACATGTGAAATTAACTTAATGAAATTTAGTCTTTTTTTAGCAAATTTAATTCACGTCTATTTAAATTTAAAATATTAAAGCATCTTCTATTTTATTAGATATTTTCCTGGAAATTGTTTGATCTCTTGGGTAGTCATGTAATTCCTTCGGTGTAATTTCTGATTACGTTTCGTCAAATTTCGAAACTTTCTTTGTGGTTCCAATACGACCCTAGAGTTTAGTTAGTTTTTACTTAGATACCCATGTCACTGCCTACTTCCTTTTCCTTTGTTTGAACTAAGTATGCGGTCACTGATATTTTCAAAAGCTGAATATATGTCATTTTTATTTAATTATTTTGTGAAGAAGCATCTTCCCTTTCCGTCTGCTCTTCTTATTTATTAAAGTGTGAAAATTAATCAATCATATTTCACCAACAATCGAACTAAGTTTACCAAAACTATTTATATGAAAGTTATACTCATTTAAATTTTATAGCGATTTCTTAATGTGCTTTCCATGCTTGATTAGTCTCACTCTACTACTCTTTAAGTAGTTATTTTTTTAATAATTTATTGTTAATTTTTTTATTTTTTTCGAGCAAGAATAGATTTTATATATATAATATAAGCCATCTAGTAATTGTAAAATGCGGCTTAGTCAATCCTCTAGGTATGCGTGTAGAGTGAGTTGTTAGTTTATATCGAGTTCCTACTCTTACCTCCCGGTCACATACCAAGGAAACAAGAGCATTTCTTAACCCAAATTGCAAAACTAAGCTATAAAAAGCCTGTGATCGTTCCTAAAAGACACGAAATATAAGCGGAGAAACTTCAATATAATCGGTTTAAGTGTTCAACAGAGTCTCTGCACAGTGTGTGTTCAACAGAGGTGCGTATATGAACAGGCGTCGGTCTAGTGGAAGCCGGTAGAATATGTTACAGAAATGCATTCAGAATCTTAACCCTAACAATACCTCGGATGAGAGTACCTATTTTATATTGCAATCGCTGGAAGTGTTTTAAGGATCTGCATTTCACGGTACACAAATGGTTAATGTCCCGGTAAAGCCAAAATTCAGTATCGATGGGTGTCGAAAGGGCATAAGCTCGTTTGGCATTTATTGCAAAGGCAATATAAAATAAAAGAGCAGAAAATTTGTGTTATTTTCGAGGTGGGAGGAAGACACAGTTACCGAGTCCTTGCGTTCGCTTCTATGGATAAAAGTTTTTCCACTGTCTGCATCATCCCAAATTGGCGCCCATACGCTGACAAGAGAGAAGCACATTTCGTTGCAAGGAACTGTGTTGGCTAGGCCCAAGATGGGCAAAATCCAAATGGAGATGGAATTGGCTTCACTTGGTGTCTCCAGTTTGCAACGGGTGGCTAAGAGAAAAACCGTATTGTCTCTCGGTTATATTCTCGCAAGTGCTGCCCACGGCAAGAAAGCAGGTAGATCCGAAAGTTTTAGACCTACAGATGTACAACAACCAGCAGCGTGTGGTGCGAGGTTCTTCGGTTACCCCTACGGGTTAGGGGCTCAAGAATTTACCCGCGGTAAGGCATGCCTGTCGTAAGAGGCGACTCAAATCCAATAGTTCCAGCATCAGTCGGGTCTTTATACCGAAACGAACCGGATTTTTATCCGGCCAAGGACTGTCACTCCCGCAACATTCCCCTAAAAAGTACTTTGGGGAATAATTTTGCGGTTACAACAACAACAACAACAGGTTCTTCGGTGGTGCCACTGATGATAGAACTGTGAACATTTATAACAAAAAAAAAAAGATCGGTGAAGTGGCTGAGCTGTAAGGGCTCATATAGATGAAATTCCTTTGCCGTGTGGTTACATCAATAGCCAAGTTTCGAACACTGCTTACTAACAACCTGGAGTTTGAGGTTCAAGTTCTATTCAAACCATCAATAAATAAAAATTTTAGAAAATTAATTTCTTTAAAGATATTTGTTAATTTTTCTATTAGCGGTAAGGAATGCCAAGCCAAGGTATTTTTGGTATAAAATAGAGGCGCCTCAAAAAAATCCATTAGCCGTTCGGAGCTGACTAAGAACGAACTCTAATGCCCTCTATTTTTTTTTGACTAACATCAAACCGCATACCATAATTAGGTGGATGAAAATCGCTTTGGCGGCTACAAATTACCCGCAAATGATGCAGATCTCTCAGCTTTTGTTAATCAGGGTGGAGTAATCAGCTCCTTTATCTGCACGAACGTGCCAAATAAGGGTGAGTTGGTAAGCAAGTTCCTTCGCTCATCTTGAAACCACTTTAAGGGACACTGGTGGCAGTTGCGGAAGAAATAAAATTGCCTAACCCGCTGCCAGCCGCACCAGTGAGCCAGTGGAGTTTGACGTTAGGGGTTGGTGACAAATAAGGCTCGGAAATTGACTTTCTCTCCATGTCTCTGCGTTGTTAAAGAGTTTAATCGAGAATCAAGTGTGAAAATATACCAACTTTTGGAATTTGTACCCAAAGGATGTAGGTGGCAACGACAAAAGTAACCTTTTTTTTTGTTAATTATTTTTATAAATTCTTTGCTGCCATAATAAGCCAGATAAGGCTTTAAACTAAAATAATAATAAATAAATTGAAGAAAAAAGTTCTACTGGCTCTGCCTCTGTAATTTAGCGGCATTTGATCCTTTGGA